CGGGGCTAGTGCTTCCAGGCCCCGCTGGGCCGGGCGCTCGGGGCCAGGGCCCCGCAGCCTGGAAAACCCGGGAAGCCACCAGGGCCCAGGCCGAGAGCCTGAACTCTTCTTCAAAACAGACGCCTTGGTTTTCCTGGGAAGCTTTCCCCGCGTCCACTCGCAGGGGCAGGGATGCCAGGCTCTCGGGTCTCCGCTTCCCGCCGACGTCTGCAGGAGCCGAGCCGCAGGCCGCCCCTCGCAGGCCGTAGACGGCTGAGCAGCGAGGGCAGCCCTGTCCGCCTCCCGCCAGCAGTCACGCAGGACACGCGGGCTCGGCCCACGGCTGCGTCTCAGCACTTCCGTGGCTTTGCTACACTTCCCACCGCCCGGTCAGTAGATACACGTGACCTCACTGGGCACAGTCCAGGAACTGCTAAGCTTAGCGAATGTAATTACACGAACCCGGCCGCTGAGTAGATTCCGGGATTGTTGTTTCAAATCTGCCCGGTGACGACGGGGCAGCAGGCGCGCTGGCCCACGGGCGGTGGGCACTGCGCCCGGGCCGACGGCAGGGCGAGGCGCAGCCTCCAGCTGCGGCCAACACGGCCTGGCTGCGGGTTCGGGGAGCGGCGGTGCCCCTGAGGTGACGCGTTGCCTCAGGGGTCTCGACCGAGTGACCCGCGCACCCCGGCTCTCCAGGCATCTGTGTCTACGCCGCCCCTTCCCGGGCCTGGGCGGCCACCCGTGAGAACATGCATACTGTCCGCCTTCCCTTCTTTCATTGCGGGGGTTTAAAAACACATGCACATTGCGGAAAACATGTATTTTGTGTCTGTGCACTTTAGGATTTGCAAGCATGGTGCTGTTTCACAAATCCCATCTCATTCTTTGTGGGTTTTGTTTGTTGGGGGGAATTCTTTTCATCCACTTTGTACATCAGGTCTTGCCCCCCTCCGGGGTAAGCGCTACAGCTTTCCTTTGCCCCTCGGCACATGCCGCTGAGGTCCGTCAGTGGTGCCTCGTGTACACCGAAGGTAACTCGGGGGGCTGCCTGGGCACTTGCTGGGCTCTCACGAGGAGCCGAGGCACCGGGGGCACTACCAGCCCCTGTGCACGTTTCCCTCTGTACCCGGGACAGTGTCCCTGGGCATGTTCCAGGAGTGGAGAGCTCGTGGTCACAGCATACACGTGCCTTTGATTTCACTGCAGTTGCATTTGCGTCCAGAATGGCTGGCCTGCCTCCGTGCCCAGCAGAGCACAAGGGGTCCCGTGTGCCCCCTTCCACGACACCATCCCCCTGGTTTTGCTCCCCTGGTGGCACTGAGGACTGAAGGGGGCCCCGCTGTGGGCAGTGCCCTTCTTGGACTGCGCTTCATCCACTCTTCCTCCTGACGTGTGTGTTTCCGACCCCCCCCTCCCCAACACGCTTCTCTTCTAGTCTCCTTACCGGGCATTTTTGCTGAGTTCCTTGGTCACAGAATTTCCATATGATCTCCCCCACTTTCCCGCCTATTGGGTAATTCTGTCAGAGACACTGCAGCAAATAGAAGTATTTCTTTGGAATGTAGCCAATCCATCAATTTCCTCCTGTACGGTTTATGTTTTGAATTTTAAAAGATTTTCTCAGCTACAAATCACAGATATATTGTATTTCTCTATATTTTCTCCTATTAGCTTTATAGCTTTATCTTCTGCATTCATGACTAAAGTTATGTTTGAAAATGATTTAAGATAGAGATCCAACATTTTAAAAAATCTCCATGTAATGAGCCAATTATTGTAGTCACCCTCCGCCAAAAATGCATCTTTCTCTGTGGTGCCGATGCCCCGCCTGTGACGAACTCAGTTCCCGGTGTCACGGGTCCGCGTCTGCACGGCCGGCCCTGTTCCCTGATGGTCTGTCTTACTTTTTGCGTGGGCACCGCTCTGTGGTGGTCACCGCCTCGGAAACTGGCTTAGCCTCTGCTGGTGGGCGTCCTTCCTCCGGAAGCTCCTGCTTATGAGTTGTCTCCCTATTCTGAGATCCCTATTCTTCTTTGCTAATTTATTATTTAACCACCCCCCCCAACCCCGACTGTAATCTCCATGAGGGTAGTAGTCTTGCTCACTTCGGTATCTGCCTGCACCTAGAATAGAGCCTGACACATAGTAGATATTCAACAAGCCTTCGACAAGTGAGTGCATAGATTAACCTCGGGACTTCTCAGGAATTGAGAGCCCAAGAAGATGACGTGGGGTGCTAAGGGTCACGAGCTATAAGGCAGATGTAGAATCTCAAATAAGGGTTTTTTCAAAAAAAAAATTTATCTTTATTATTGAAAGTATTACAG